GGGGGGGGGGGGGGGGGGGGGGGGGGGGGGGGGGGGGGGGGGGGGGGGGGGGGGGGCAGTAAGCGCGTGCGTTTTTGCTGGAGATATTGATCCACATTAACGGCGCATCTCCAACGAGACAGGGACACAAGATATTATGATATGTCCTTCTCTTACAATCAAGAAACCCTTTTTTGCATATTTTGGGCGTTCGTTGTGCCACCAGCGGGGCCACGACTGCTACAATGTTTTACGAGGGCACCGGGGGGGGGAGGAGGAGACGCACGACCTTGACAAACGCAAGCGAGGCCCAACAGCCGCTGCACCAACACACAACCGCCAGGGAAGAGGCCATGGTGCCGAATGTAGCACAGCAGCCAAGCGGCGGCAGTCACTCCCGCTTTCTCCGGAGTGGGAATTCCACACCTGTTACAGCAGTGTGCAACGTCTCACCAGCTTGATGTTGTTCTCGATGGCGGTGCCGTCTAGGGCTGTCGTTAGCGTCTTCTTGGAGCCATCCTCCGACATCATTCCGACCGAGTTGCACGCACGGAAATTGGCCGTCTGGCACCCTGGTCCTCGACACGTCTGACAACAAATGCCGGGGGAGGGGGGGGGCGTACTCTTTTGTTGTGCATGCCTTAGCGGTTACCACGCGTCCTCGACAGGACAGAGCATTGTTCCCCATCACCGACGGCTAATCGCTCCTTCCCACTTTTTTCCAAAGGCGGTTCAAAGATGTTTTCCCTGTCCAATGGTTGTTGTCAGTTGTCGCTCGTCATGTGGTATTTTTTCACGCGGCCAAGCGCCGCGTTCGAGACTAACCCCCGGTCCTGGTGACAGTGCAGAGACCGCATCAAAATGGCGTCACCTTTGATGCTCGCGGGTGTTCGCAAGTATTCGATTCAACCGAACATGGTCGGAAACATCTACACGAATCTACGCTATGCGATAGGAAATTAGCCTCCTGTTGTGCTTTGAGTGCACCTTTACCTTCCTTGCCCTTGAGCCACACCATGATTCGAAAAGATACACGAAACGCGAGCACGCACGACCCAAAATCGACCAACGAAAACCCCGCGAGCTATGCACATGAGGTTTGCAAGTATTCATCCTTCTTCCTGCACTACCATACTGCTATTGGTGTGATCCTTACACCAAACAATTCTCAAACCTCCTCCCGTCCGGAAATGGACCTCCATCGATAGATGCTCGAATTTCCACCCAGAACACAAACGGGAAACGACAATGAACGACCGGAAGGAATAGTGCCGGCAACTCGTGGGCACGAGTGCCCACTCCTCTAAACAAAAACCCAACACCATACCGTATGGTTGGGAGTCAGCTAGAACACAGAGCACAGAGCACAGGGGTGCGATCGATTTTCAAAGCGTAACATGTATCCACAACCAGGAGGGTGCGAGCGCCAACTGATACTTCTCAGGAAAGCTCTCGATGAGATATTTTCAAACCGCCCTTCTCGACAGTGGTAACCTGCTGGTTGCGGAGAAATTACGCCTTGAAAATTGTTCGCACTCCTGTGCTCTGTGCTCTGTGCTCTAGCTGACTCCCAACTTTGCGGTATTGTTTGGAATACTGCCGGTACAGTGCCGTTGAACGCTGTGGGCACACATGCGCACGGAATAGGGACCTCTACCGCATCTCGCATCCTCGACAACTTATTTGGGGCTGACTCACGATGGTAGGCGGGGTGACGTCGACGCACCCCTGTCCGGTGGTCAGACCGTCCCCGGCGTAGCCTTCCGCACAGAGACACTCGTACCCGCCGTCGGTGTTGTGGCACTCCGCCTCCGGGGCACAGGCGTGTCGGAACTGGAAGTGCACAACCGGGAGGGGGGNGGGGGGGGGGGGGGGGGGGGGGGGGGGGGGGGGGGGGGGGGGGGGGGGGTCAAGGGAAAGGAGGGGAGAAAAGAAAACAGGAGAGGGAATGAAAATCTTGCGCACCCGGGGGGCGGGGCGGGGGTCAGGGGAAAGGGGGCGAGAAGGACAACACTTCTGGAAACATTGGGTTGGAATGAAAGGAATTGCTGAAAACGCCGTGCCAAAAGCACCTGAAAGAGGTGTCTTCAATTCGACGTGCCGTAGCAACAAAACGAGCACTGCAGGAAAAGCAAACCGTTTTGCTTCTTGTGTTGCGTGTGTCCCCCCCACCAATCGAGCCTTTGCGTCATCCTCTTCGTGTGAGTAGTTCACGTTTTTTTTTGTTTGTTACTAGTATTTTGTTAATTGGAGCAATAGACTTGGTGCACACAACATCAAAGAAACACTACCCGTTCCAGACACTAACACTTCATGTTTGGAGGACAGGCAGGCCAGACATCCTTAACACAACAACGTGGTATTATCTCGAACAGTTATCATAGCTTTTCAGTGGTTGCATGTGTAATTCTAGTAGAACACACTGACCAACTAAAATACCGACAAGGCCACAGCAGCAGCAGCAGCAACCCACCGTCATACCTCAGCGTGGCGGCCGGTGTAGGTGCACTCGTCCACATCCAGCACCTCCACCTTCCTGATCTTGGAGATGGTGCCGTCCCCCTCCAGCAGACGGTTCTCGAGGACGTACCTCACGGTAAACTCTCCCGTCTTCTTCAGGTAGGCGCCTGTTGTCGCACAATGTTACGGCACAAAAAAAGAAACAAGTAGACGCGAGGAGGAAGGGTGAGTGCCTGAATGCCGTTCGTTTCCTCGTGGTCGAGGGTAGTTGGATCGAGAAGTCTACCGGTCTATGCAACTCTTCAGCATCTCGGCCCCCCGGCCTGCCTCCCCAACAACCGCCGCTTCTCATCCGCGTGACCCCGGTGTTCTCCTATATTCCATCTCCCAAGTTAAGCCCCTTGTGCATTCTTGTCCTTGGTGCACGTCTGGGGGCAGCGCCCTGCTTCACTCTTGAGGCCGGCTTCACTCCAAACCTCTACAAACCTCGCTGACCCAAAACTAGGCTCCGTGCCGATATTTTCAAGTCTATCGACGACTCTCCGGAACATCAAGCAGCACCACACCAGAACTCTTGCCTGGCTGGTGAAAACTCGAGTCCAGCTTGTCCGTCCGCCTTGCAAGCTGGCCGGGCAGGGGGAATCGAACACTCCCCTCTACATTCGGACCTTCTTGCTCGCGACTCTCAACACAACTCTGCTGTGCACACTCAAATAGGCTTCATTCTGTCTGTTTTGGTCTCTCCTCCACTGCCTGCGGACGTGTGTCCTGTCCTTCCTTTATTGCTATACTGCCGCCTCCTACGTTGCGCGGCCACTGCTGTCTCTCGCCATGCTCCGTAGCTTCCGCTCGTTACTCGACGTGCTACACCACTTGGTGCTGTGCTCCCTTCTCAAAGGAATGACAGGGAAGGAGGGGTTGGACCTACCGGGGGGGGTGGAGTACTGTATCCCGATCTTGCGTTCGCTCTCGTCGTCATTGCGGTCGTCGATCGTCACTCCCAGCTCCTCGTAGCTGTCACCCTGCGTCGTGGCAACGCGGTATGGCATGCACAGTTACGGTACGGCAGGGGATTTCACGGAATGGTAACGCATCGTAGCGTGTCATGTTGGTATTGGTGGTGGGATGAGACGGTATGGGATGGGGTGGTGATGCATCGTACGGTGCGATGTTGGTATTGGAATTGGTATCGGTAGCTGTCTGGTACGGTGAGGGATGGGATGGGACGGGGTGATGATGCATCGTGCGATGCCATGGTGGTCTTGTGCGGTCGCATGCACCACCTTCGAAACACAGGGTTCGAAGCAAGACGATACTTCGTCCAAAGGCGATGGAAGTCGAGAAGCAACCAACCACAACAACGAACGACGACGGCATGGACCATCGAGGACAAACACATAAACTGCATGAGAGACGTGAACCGGGTCAAATCGCCTCGAGACCGAGCAACGCCGACCTGAAAGGCAGACGACGCAGACAACCAGCAAAACTACACACACACACGCCTACTTCGAGCAACATTTGGCAACGAAGTAGGAAGTCACGACTGTCCGCCGAGGGAACAACGCTCCTGCCTCTGGCGAGGACGCGTGGTCTATGGTCTAACAACTAAGCCGTGCAAATCATTGGTACCCCCCCCCCCCCCCCCCCCCCCCCCCCCCCCCCCCCCCCCCCCCCCCCCCCCCCCCCNCCCCCCCCCCCGCCAATCTGCCGGGACCTCCTACCCCCTGCTCTCGCCTGTCGGTATACGCTCGGGTTGGGCCCCCTGATCGTAAAGTCCGGGGTCCGCTTGTCCACGCAGCGGGTGATCTTGTCCAGACGCTTTCCTCCGGCGACGGTCTCGTAGTAGTCGCTGGGGACGGTTTCCCCGTCGATGAAGGCCTTGTAGCCATGCCGGGGCTCGCACTTGTAGGCGTCCCCCTCCACGCTGCACCTAGTATGTGTGGGCGAGTGTGGGGTGGAAGGGGACGTACCTGTTTTGTGCTGGGGCGGCTTGGGATAGGGGGGGAGGGGCTGGCAGCGGCTTGATCGCGGGACTTCACCACGGTCCTAACCAGCATGGACGACTGGCAGCTATTTTTTTACGACAACAACAACGACACCAACGAGGACGACACCATCCACAACAACGACCACGACAACAATACCACCAGCATCGACAGCAACAGCAACAGCAACAGCAATGACAACAACACCACACCATCATCAACAGCAACAGCAACAACAACAACAACAACCATCACCACCGCCACGACCACCACCAACAACAACAACAGCAATAGCTAGGACAGCGAACATAGCCTCACCTGCAGTGGTAGGGGCAGGTGTTGTTCCTGCAGGGGTTCTCGAACTTCCTCACGTCCCGCACGCAGTCCCCCCTCTCGTCCTTCTTGAAGCCGTCCTTGCACCTGCACTCGTAGTCCTTGTACCCCTGCCCGGCTGAGCACAGCGACGTGTTGTCGTCGCACGTGTTGCCCTGCACACGGGGGATCAGCAGAAAAAAGTCACACAGGTCGGTTGTCGGCATTCTTTCGTCTTGTCAAGGTAAACGTTAAAGCTCCCCTTAGGCCGCACGGGGTCCACAGCACGTTTCTCAATCGAGGGCACTTGAAACTTGTTTCTAGAATGATGTATCCGAAACCAGATCACAGCTCACAACATTGTCAAGGGCTGTCTGGGAATGCGCAACAGCAGTGGCACGCGGGAAGCAAACTAGACTCGACGAGCCTTCGTCGGACACGTGGCTCTGCAGCAGCAGATCAGAACAATGCACTTCCTTCATTCCACCGCTGTCCGCACAAATCTTGAGTACGACAACGAGGACACCATTCCCCAATCTCGCTCTCTTCATGATAAGCATACCTAAACCACTTCTTCGCATGAGCGAAAGGCATGACTGCCGCGATACCGCAAATGTACGTGTATGTGTAGCCCTCGTCTAACCTTGCAGGGGTCGTTGGTGCACTTGAAGTCCTCCACGCAAGCGGCCCTCCGCTCCTTCATGTACCCGAACGTGCCACAGCACGACTCCGTGGAGTTCTCCCCCCCGCACGTACCTTCCTCGCTCTTGATGGGCTTGTCGAGGGAGGGTGACCCGCTCTCTTCCTCGCCCCAGTACCCGGCCGCACACCTGCCAAAAACAAACCAACAACAAACACCAAAAAGACCTCGTTTCGGTTTTGACCCTTAGCCTACTGCTGGAACCCATGGTGTGTTGACATAGAGGTAGGTATTGCTAGCTCAACCTGGGTCTTCAATTTCATGCGTATACCCTAATGGTCCACCATACACCGCCCGTCTTCGACTTAAAAAAAATTGAGTCACCCCTGATGCAGAAAAACGCCAATCCCACCACGGCTGATACACTCGTGAAACGGTCTACTGCTGTGTGCAAATGGACACTGCTGGCACCAGGAGAGGTGGTACAGTATGTATAAGGCGCCAACGATCGTATCTACAAGAAAACCGTCGGACGAAGAAAACAGAGCGAGAAAGGACCCTCAGTGGTGGCGTTTCCGAGCGCCGAAAACGCCATCTTTCTCTCTCTCACTGCAAATCGAAGGTTAAGGTTCGCGGTAGGTCGCATCTCACCCCACCTCCATTTGTGTTGGGGCACACGGCCGCGGCGTGAGAATGATGCACCGCGCACGAGGAGATAACATCATTCAGAAAAGCGTACATGTATCTGCAACACCCTAATCGAAAATTGAAACAACTGCAATCACTCCGAAAAAAAATAAATATGTTGCCCACTCTACAACACCCCATCGAAAATCGAAACGACTACAATCATTCAGAATAATTATGAATACGTTTTCTACCCGGCAACACCTTATCGAAAGTAGAATCACCTAGTAGTAGTTATACTGAAAAAGCTGTGCACCCTGTTTCCTTTCTCCTTACTTGTCTGTTCGTCTCGTCGCCCCATTTTTTTTTTCCCTTCTCCTCTTTTTCTCTTTTCATCTATACCCGCAGCTCCGCGCCGTTCTGATAAATGCGATGGTGCAATTTCGCTTGTTGCCACTTGGGATGCCACGCCGTTAAAAAAATACTGCGCACACTTTCTGTGCCCATCGCCTACAGCCGCTCCCACTTCCGAAAAGCTTCGAAACCACTCCTTCCATTCTCTCTCTGCATGATACTCCGGCCGACGTACGGTAGAAATGCACGCCGAAAATGCGTGTAGACGGGCGCCACAGCACATGATGACGACCTTGCCCCCCCGCCTCCGTCCTCTCGAGGAACGCGTGGTCAATGGCCAAGCCATGCAATACATGAGTACGCCCCCTCCCCCACCACCCCCCACCATCAGGCAAAACATTTTTTGAGCCACCTTTGGCAAGGTAGGAAGGAACGATTGGCCATCGGTGTTCGGTCCTGTNGTTTTTTTTCTTGGCGGTAACCATAATGGTGGTCGAGTAGATCATGTTGTACGGGGTCGAGAACCCTCACTCCGCGCAAGGGGGATGATCGCACCACGTTGTGGTAAAATGGTCAAGCACCCTCGAGGCAGTTACACAGTGCTTACAACTGTCTCTGGAAGTGAAAGCACCATAAAGTAAATTAAGTCATACGTAGATGTCATCCGTACGCAAGGAAGTAAGCACAAGATGCTGAAATCCCTTAACAGGATGCAGCGCACCCTTCATGCGACTCGCCGAATATCTCACGGCGCTTCGCGCTTGGT